CTCTGAAAGCAATGGCCCTAAAAATTTTTTTTTTTTTTTTTTTTTTTTTTTTTTGGTGGGGAGGGGGCAGAAAGTAGAGTGAGAGCTAGGACCAAAATTACAATGACAATTTCTTTGTAATTAGTTTCATGTTGTTGAGAGTACAGTCTCTACTTAAGAGGGATCACAAGACTCTATACCTACTGGCTGGAGGCATGGGGGAAGCTTGGCTTTTCTACCATAGGAGTTGGTTGGACTCCCTGAATTACAAGGAGTTTAGTTTGAAACTGTTACATATACTAGAAGTTACAAATGTTATAACATTAGAAGTGTAAGGGTTAAGCAAGAGTAACAAGATTATGCCAACAGATGATCTCAGAAGGGGCTGGGAACCAGGAAGCCATGGTTGTTTGCTCTAGGAGAGCCATCTTATCTTTCAGTATCTTTCCACTGTAGACCATTTCCTTGTCTCTTACAAAATTGTTTCAGTGGTACTGTAGTTGTAGTTTATATATGTATCGTTTGGCCAAAGTTTTCCCACCCAGTTTGTACTGAGGTCAGGCAGTGTTACAGTGCCATATTAACCTCATTGTTTTGGGATTCTCAGGCTATACCTTAATTACTGAGGATGCATTTTAGTGTGTGATCCAAGGGATGCTATGTGAAGAGGCAGGTATCTGGGCCATTGAGGTGGACCGAAGCATCTGTCTCATCCATTTTCAGAGTCCTTAAGAGCTGATGGGCTGGAGAGTTCCTTCCCACTCTATCAGACATCCCTCCATTCCTTGGTGAGTCTGACATGGTCACAGGAAGCAGAGACCCTGGCTTGCCTTCCCAACTCTTTTGTGCTTAACCTTTCTCCTGTTGGGGTATAGATCAATTGCGTTTTGCTTGCATTTCAGGGCCATGTAGCAAAGTACCTGAATTTTTCCTTTCTCATGAGTATTTCTGAGGTCGTTTTTATCCTCATGTGGTGAAGTCATTCTCCTAAGAATCTCAAAAAAAAAAAAAAAGTGAAAAATAACACCTGAACTATTAGACTGCATGCTTCAGAGGGTCAGCTTGCTTGCATGAACAGCTTTGGTGTTGATTTTAAATCCACTGAGGTTAAAAATATGAGTGGGTGAATAAGAGCTCAAGGGGATGTCTTTTTAGCTGGGGAGTTGTCTTGTACCCTTGGGGATGGACTGTCCCCGAGGTGTTAACAGGGCGGAGATGAGAGCAGTTAGAGCACAATGATGCAGAAGTGGGGGTAAATAAATCTTGGTGGTAAAGTGGAGGTTCTCCTGTCAGTTGGCTGGGTGGTACCCACAGTGCTGGGGAGTCTTGGGACTGTGTCCCAGTCTGCCCCATTATCCAGTCAGGTGTCTGGAAGGAGGAAGAAAGATCCCGGTGTATGAAGAAATGCCAACAGCACAGGGAAGTCTGGGTGTGGTGGTGCTCTAAGAATCCAGCTGTGCTGATCGTAATAACCACCTTGGGGGAGGGGGTCTCCATCTTGTCTCTACCTGTGGTTGGTGGTTGGTGAGAATATGGGCCATTTATTACCAGGGAAGCCGGTGCATCTAGACTACATGTGGTCCGTTACTGGCAGCTGCCTTCTAAGCTTAAGTCTGGGTTCAGAGCTATGTTAATGTGCACACTTTTTTACCACGACATTAATTCAACTTACACCAGTAGAACGGGGAGAGGGGTGGGTCCCACACATTCTGGTTATGGGATGCCATAGCCCTGAAAAGGAAGGGAAAAGAAAGGAAAGAGAGAGTGAATCCGCTTCCCCAGTCTATGATCAGATCTCCTGCAGGGGTTTGCTCATCCCATCTATATGCTCCAGGAAGGAAGGGTGTGTGAATGCTGGCTGGTGGAAGGCAAGTCTGGGGGCGTGGGCAGGCCAGCTGCTAGCCAGGGTCATACTTTACCTCCAAAAGCTTGGCTAATTTCCCATCCTGTAGGAGAAAAGTCTGAAGCCCACCCTGGCCCTGAACACTTAAACTGTGACAGAGAGCAAGGGCAGGAGGGATGAGGAGAAAGGGAGAGAGAGAGAGAGAGAGAGAGAGAGAGAGAGAGAGAGAGAGAGAGAGAGGTGCTCCTGTACTAACAGACAGTTGCCAGTTCCCTGTGGAAGTGAAAGGAGGTAGGCGGTAGGCGGTAGTGCCGACGAGGAAGGAATGAGCAATAGTATAGGGGTCGGAGAGATGGCTCCATGGTTAAGAGCACTGGCTGCTGCTTTTCCAGAGGACCTGAATTTGATTCCCAGCACCCACACGGAAGCTTATGATCATCTGTAACTCCAGTCTGGGGGGGGGATATGACACCCTCTTCTCACCTGTGTAGGTACTGGTTACAAATATGGTGCATAGGCATGCGTTCAGGCAAAATACTCACACACATAAAACAAACAAACAAACAAACAAATAGCACCTAGCTGGCTCCACCTCCTGACTGGCTGTTCATCAAATGCAGTAGATCTGAGTCTCAGGGCACCTGGTCAAGTTTTTAGGTCTTTCTCTAGTCCCCAAAGAAAGGGACCAGGGATATATCTGTAGCACAATAAATAAATGACCCAGAGACAGATATTGGGGTTTAAGCTTTAAGCTGAAGATCAGAAAAGCAAAGCAGCTGGTCCTAACTCTCACTCTACCTCAGACTGAAATGGGACCCTGGTTCCACCAAACCTCAGACTGTAACCTCTCCTCAGGTGGCTGGAGAATCCTGAGACTTCAATGTCTTCCTATTCTCAATATGGCTGGAGAATGAATGCCTGATACTGACTACTGAAGACCCTACTCTTATCTTTTATACCCCTCTAGTGCGGATGACCTCAGGTGCCGAGATCTTCTTTGTGTGAGCTGTTTCTCTTTAGGACTGGATCAATCTTGTGTAGATCTGGGTGGCTTTGGACTCACAGACATCTGTCTACCCCTTAATCCTGAGTCCTAGGATTAAAAGTGAGCACCACCACCTCCTAGTTTCTGGCTGCTGGTATTAAAGATGTGTATCACCACTGCCTGATCTCTATAGCTTGAGGCTGACTTTGCTTTTTCAATCCTCAGGCAAGCTTTAATAAATAAGTAATAAATAATAAATAATATGTCACCACACATATGGTTAGAAATAGAAATAAACAGAGAGAGATTACTAAGGGAAAACATTCCTAAGAGTGGGAGTGGGTCAGTGAACTGAGGGAAAAGCACACACTAAAAAGCAAAGGGTCAAGAGATTCACACCTCTTTATAGGTCATTTACAGGGTATCCACCTGTCTCAGTTAGGGATTCTTTCTCTGTCTTTCTCTCTCTCTCTCTCCTTCTTTCTTTCTTCCCTTTTATTTTTTGTTTTTTAGCGGCAGGGTTTCTTTTTTTTGCTTTGGAGCTTTTCCTGGAACTCGATCTATAGACCAGGCTGGCCTCAAACTCACAGAGATCCACTTGCCTCTGCCTCCCAAGTGCTGGGAGTAAAGGCGTGCGTCACCAATGCCCAGCATTAGTTGGGGTGTTCTATTGCTGTGAAGAGACACCATGACCATGGCAACTCTTATGAAATTAATTGAGGTGGCGGCTTACAGTTTCAGAGTTAGTCCATTATCATCTTGGTGGGAGCATGGCGGCTTACAGGCAAATATGGTGCTGGCTACATCTTGATGTGCAGTGACAGGAAGTGGACTGAATCACTGGGTGTGGCTTGAGCATATATGAAACCTCAAAACCCGCCTCCACAATGACACACTTCTTCCAATAAGATCACACTTACTCCAACAAGGCCACACCTCCTAATAGTGCCACTTCCTTTGGGGCCCATTTTCTTTCAAACCACCACACACCCTCTCCCATGTCTGTATACAGTGCGTTTCCCTAGGCATGCCGTATTTGCTGTCAGCTATAGGCAGGGAAGGGGTTTCAGTAGTTAAGTGAGAGATCCTGTGTCAGAAGCCAGCCTTGACGACCCCCCATGCCTAGCTAGCTGTCAGCTAGTCTAGCATCCCACGATGTCAGAAGCCAGCCTTGACGACCCCCCATGCCTAGCTAGCCGTCAGCTAGTCTAGCATCCCACCCCTCAGGTTCCAGGACCTGGCCTGAGAAGCAACTAACACCTATTCCTTCCCCCACTTCCTTAGTTAGTGCTCGAGATAAACAGGAGATTCCAGATACCTGGCCTTAGAGCAATTAACATTCATTCCTCCCCCACTTCCTCTTTCTCTGCTTCCTCCTTTCTATTTAAAAACCCCTTGTAATAATCAATAAACAGAGACCTTGACAAAAGAAAAACCCTGCTTGGTCTCGTTCCTTCTTTCTCGCCTATTATTTTCAGGCTTGATCCACCTCGGACTCAACGAATTACCGGAGCCCCTCGGGCCGGGGCAATCCTGCCTCAAAAAACAAAGGTGGAGGAAACCTCATGATACAGATTCCATGAGGTTGTTATGCACAGTGGGGCAGGGCATTGAGGTGATGCAGCTATGCTCCTGATGTTGCTGTTTTCTGCCTTGGTTGTGGAGGAGGACTCCTTAGAGTGGGTGGTGGTAGTTGATAAGAGCCTTATAACTGTTTAAACTTCTGGGGACAAGTGATGCTTGAGGTGGCATGGCTCCCCAGTGCTCAGCAAAGGATCATGGGCATATCACTCCTTCTTAGGTTCAGGGAACACAAAGAGGAGGGTTGTGGTAGTGGAAAGAATGTAAGAGTCCAGGAAAGGGGTGGAGTGTTGCCTAGCATTCCCCTCCTCTGTGTACATTGCAATGCCATCTTAGAATAGGCATTACTTTGGTAACTAGAGCAGAACAACAGAGTGGTACCAAGGCCCGTGATAGTAACTGTGGAGCTGTTGACATTCCAGGAGTTGGGAGGAGTCACATGGTCTCTATCTGGGATTCCAGCTGTCTACACTAGCCCCCAACTGCAAATGATCTTGGGAGATGCTAGAACATGTAGGAAGCAGAAGACTAGTAGAAAGTGACACTCCATGATGCAGCTTCCACGGGCTTGCCATCAATGGTGGGTGGGACTTAGTGGTGTTGCAGCTGTTTTGGGGTTACCCACATTCCTATAGGTGATCTCTCATCTGTACTCTGTAAACAAACCCAATATACACAATAACTCATTGGGCTCAGCAAGTTGGGCTTTGGTAGGATGATTGACAAGGACACCTGGTGTGTCATCTCTATGTTTCCTGCACTCCCTTAAATGCCATATTCAACAGCTCTCTCTGGGCAGTTTGAGGGCCGGCATCCAGCCTTTTAAGTTTCTTTCTAATATCAGGGGCTGGCTGGGAGAGGAAGTGAGAGTTGAGGATAAGCGTGCCCTCCCTCTTGAGAGTTAGGATCTGGCTCCGTGTACTGAAGGAGGCCTCTCCAAGAGGCTGAGGAAACTGGAGGATTTTTATCCAGCCTCTGGGTGACCTCCCTCAATTTATCAAAAGTAATTACCTTATGAGAAGCCTTCTGGAGGCCAGCCAGGAGGCAAACAAACATTTTGTCTTGGGCTACCCTGCTCAGGGATTGATTCTCTTGCATTAACAGGGATTTCCGGTGGGTGTCTGATGGGGGAAGTCCTTCTGTGTATGTGTTTGTCATATTGGTTAATAAATAAAGCACTGTTGGCCAATAGGGAAGCAAGTTAGGCAGGACTAGGAGAGAAGGAGGATTCTGGGAAATATAGGAAAGCGAGGGGTTGCCATGTGATCCTGTGAAGAGAGGACGCATACTGCTGGCATCCTCGATAAGTTTTTATAAAATATATAGATTAATGGTTATGGTTGATAATTAAGACTGAGCTGGCATATAAGAAATCCTAGTCACTGGCCAGCAGCATTGTAATGAATCTTAATCTCTGTGTGTTATTTGGGGGCCCTAATGTGGCCGTGGAACTCGGATAGCTGGTGGAAAGAGCTATCGTTTCAGGGGTTCCTCTGGGGAACTGAGTCTGTGGGGGACCTCATTGGCATGGGTTGAGCAGCTGGTCAGACCCTTTCCTTTTCTTCAAGAGTGAGAGTAGAGGAAAGAATAACATGAGGTCATTCCAGGGGAGGCTCTAGGTTTGAGTAAGGTACCTGAATTGTTGGGTGAAGTCAGAAGGGTTGGCTGAGAAAGAACCAAGGCGCCTTTCTGTATGGGAGAGGTCAGCCATAGAAAAAGGGACATGTACATGGAGAAGGCCATTAGCACCTGACACTTCCCTTAGGGGGTAAAGGTCATCAGTGAGGGAACAGATGTGAGCTACAGGAAGTGATGAGAGTGTTGGGAGCTGCAGGAAGTGATAGTTGAGGTTGAATTCGGATTGGGGCAGGGAGCTGGCTGAGAATGAGGCTGAGGCTGAGGCTGAGGAAGAGAGAGGCTGAGGAGGTGTTTGGGGGTGTGTGGCCACATCCTTTATACTGAAGTCAAAAAGAGTGGAAGCAGAGGGCTCGGATCCTGGTCAGCTTCAGGAGGGGGTTTGGCTAATGTCAAGAGAACCTGGTGAGGGAGGCATGGGGTGCAGAGGGAAGGGTAAGAACGGGCAGTGAAGAACGCCACACACAGGCAGACCATTTGCCCATGTGGTGGCACTATTTGTCAAGATCAGTGAAGATTTGGTAGTCAAATGTGCCATCCTTTGGGCATAGAGACCAAGTGTCAAGTTTGTATTGTGGCCAGGCTGTGCTGCAATAAAAAAAAGGAAGCAACGAGGCACCTTGACGTCACTAAGAGGGAATGTTGAGACCCAGTAGACAAGCAAGTGGAGTTGAGGGGTCAGGCTTTGAGTGGGAGGAGCCCATGGTCAGAGAGTAGGAGAACAGAGTAGGTGGTGATGCTGTTGTTGTTGGTGGTGGTGGTGGAGTTTCCTCTGTAAAGGAGTAGAGGTGGGTAAGTGTGGTGACAGAATTTCTTTTTTCTTTCTTCTTTTTTTTTTTTTCTTGGTTTTTCGAGACAGGGTTTCTCTGTGTAGCTTTGGAGCCTATCCTGGTGAAGGGACCTGCTCCCCTTTCGGCAGCCATAACAGCCGAACACGTGCTTGCCATAAACTTGCCTTGGTCACTTAGAGGTCAGATGCCTGTCTCGTGACAAGGAACCTATCAGAAGTTAGTCACTAGAAAGTCAGATGCCTGTCTCGTGGCCATCCGCCATGGTGGGTGGGTCAAAGACCCGAGCTAACATGGGGTTAAATCGCTAAACTACAATAAAGCCTCATGCAATTTGCATCAAGCTTTCGCCTCCATTCTGTGATTGGGGTGGCCGAGGTCCTGGGCTAAGATTCTGGAAGCCTCAGCTTTCCGAGGGTCTTACAATAATAAATAAATAAATAAATAAATAAATAAATCTATCTTAAAAAAAAAAAAAAAAGAGAGGTCAACTGTGAAGCTGTTCCCCTCAACTTCAGCCCATGGTTCTTAAGTTCCACACTCCTGGAGGTCAGAGATTGTAGATTTTTGTTGTAGCCACTGCAGAGACCGATAGATTGCCTCACCCAAGCCAGGTGCTCACTGACACACCCAGGCTCGAGTTTGAACCCGACTGTCTGTCCATACCACAGGTGAGGAAAATGAAGCCAGAGAGAGCAAAGCTCTACCCAGAGGCCAAGATCCAGCTCAGGTAGCCTGTTTCCAGCCTCAGCCTGAATCAGGCAGTCAAACTCTGCCCCTTTGAGATGGAGGAGGTCAGTCCCAGGACTGGTTTCACAGCTAGTTGGCTAGTCTGGGGATCTTTGTGCAAATCACTCCAGGCCTCTGAGTCTCAGGCTTTAGACTCCTGCCATTTACACAAGACCCCGTCTCCTGAGGACCAGTAGGTCCCGGATGTGAGTGATCTGGAGACCCTGATGAGAAGATGTGCTGCCTTGCACAGATTTGAGCTGCAAGACCATCCCAGAAAGCCTGTTTGGAGGCACTTGGTAAGGAATGGGACTGTGGGACATGGGCTCACTACTCATCCTCTCCACAGAATGTACCTGCATGTTCTCAGGCTGTGAAGTTTTTCAATCGAGTGCTATTTCTCCCGGTGACAGGTTGGCTTAAGGTCATCCAAATAAGCAGAGTCTGGGGCCGATCTCACACCCAAGTTTAATGACGTCCAGTTCAGGCCTGTCACTGGCTTCAGGGTCCTTCTGAGACTCATTAAAGATGCCCCATCAGTGCTGAGTGGCTGGCCAATCTCAGGTTTTCTGGTCAGGCCACCTAGAGATAGTGTTGTGGTAACCCAACTGCTGGGGGCGCTGGAGGCCTAGGATATCTAGAACTTTCTTTGGAGGCGGTGAGTCAGGTATTCCGGGTAGGGGTGGGGTGCTTCAGCAAGATTTCATGATGGACTCTCTTGGGAAGCAAGGGAAGGCAATAGACACTTGGTCTGTTTTGATGGGACATGAGTAGCCTTCCGGGCATTGTGCTTCCAGCACGCCCCAAATCCCTTTGAAGGAGACCAGAATTCCTTTGTAGTGATACAACACCCTGTACTTCCTCCAGCATCCCGAGTGCGCAGCCAGGAGTCTCCCAGATGGCCGCCTTTTACCTCCTTAAGTCTGTCTGCTGCAGGGAGGGATGGCCCTTTAGGTCCACGTGGGCTTGGGAGGCCTTGGCCACAGCCCTATCATGAACGGCATATATTTTCTTTTCTTTTCTTTCTTTCTTTCTTTCTTTCTTTTTTTTTCTTTTTTCTTTTTTTTCTTTTTTTTTTTTTTTGGCTTTTTGAGTCAGGGTTTCTCTGTGTAGCTTTGGAGCCTATCCTGGCACTCGCTCTGGAGACCAGGCTGACTTTGAACTCACAGAGATCCACCTGTCCCTGCCTCCCAAGTGCTGGGATTAAAGGCGTGTGCCACCAACACCCAGCATGAATGACATATATTTTCTTGATAGTCCCCTGACATAGATGCCCTTGTCATTACCTCTTCCTCATTAGTTTACAGGAAACAGATGCCCAGAGGAGACCAGTAACACCTTGGGATTTGCTAAAGGAACATCACAAGTTTGAAACAAAACAAAACAAAACAAGGTCACTTGTCCATGCTGTACTCAAGAATTGTTTTTGAGCATTAAGAGAAGTGATTGAAAACTCTCCTGGAGCTGGGAAAGGAGAGTCAGGGCCCTGTAAGGTAGTGGAGTGGCTGGTACCCTGGCATCAGAAACACATCTGTGTCTGACCAGGAGAAGCTGGTGGCTTTGGTGGTAGCGTTCAGGGTGCTGGTGGGAGCAGCCAGAAAGCATGGCTGCTGGCTGGCTGTGGCCTACAGGCTATGGCTTACTGATCCTTACTGATAGATGAAGCAAGTGTGAATTGCATGGCAAACCTTCCCAGTCTCCAGACTCTGGAGCGGACCTTGGCTTTGCTCCAGGAACCCAGGCTAGGTGAGTTGTGTGGCCCAGGTGCATGAAGGTTTTACTGAAAGCTTTGTGGGATGTTCGCATCATGGCCTCTTCATCGTTCTGTTCCTCACAGCGTCTCTCTGTTGTCCAGCCTTCCTCTGTGAGGTCTCCTGAGGCCCCAGCATCTTCAATTCTTGTCTCTTGGTTTTCTTTCTTTCTCATGGACTCCTGTTCTAGGTGGAGTGAGCCAGGACCACAGGGGGCCCCTCAATGAGCTCTGGAGGGAGCCCAGAGGCCATATCATGAACTCCGTGTGTGCCTGGCTGCCTGGCTGGCCCAGTGAGGGGTGAGGGGTATTAGGCAGGCCTGGAGATCTGGAAACTCTGTGGGAAGATCATGGGGGAATTCTACGCCACGGGCAGGAATCTGGGAAATTATTCCTCAGGTGCCTCAGAGGTGAGGAAGGTTGAGAAAGGAAACCTTATGTAAATACAGGAGATGCTATTGGCAGGTATGGGCTGCCTGTGTGCACGCACTTATGGTCAGAGGCTATATATGTGCGGGGCAATGGGGACAGCACTATGGTCTCCATTCTTGGCAATGTCACAAGAAATAGGGACCCAGGCTGAAACCTCTGGTCAAGTCTTGACCACCGTGGTCTAAGCAGGTGACTGGGGTCCAGGTCTTTGATGTCTGGAATACACACTTTCCTCTTTAAAACTTTTCTATAGATTAATTTATTTCATTATTCAAATTATTATATTCATTATTTACAATAAATAAATTCAGCATTTATTTCATACGTGTATGAGTGTTTTGCCTGTGTACATATGTGCACCATGGGTGTGCTTCCTGTCTGCAGAGGTAAGTAAGAAAAGGCTTTGGATCCTTGGAACTAGAGTCACAGACAGTTGTGAGCTGCCATGTAGGTACTGGGATTTGAACCTGGGTCCTCTGCAGGAGCAACAAGTGCTCTTAACCCCTGAACCTTCTCTCCAGCCCCACTTCCCTCTTCTGTGAAGTGACAAGATCAGAATCCACCTGGGGAAGCTGGTGTATAGGACAGTTGTGCTGTGGTACATCAGCCTTGTTCAGACATGGGCTGTGGTGCCGTTTGCTGTGGGTTCAAGGTCAGTGAGTCAGTAATGTCTACCAAGTGCAGTGCCCTTAAACAGAAACACGTAAGACAAGCTTATGTATTGATGGCTTGATGAAGACGTGAGTAGAGGCTTGTGTTTCCCCCCAGGAGCAATGGCTCCACATTAACTAATCCAGTGTTCACAGCAGTTCTAGAGGACACTGTGAACAGTGAGCATCAACTGTATGACCAACACAGCCACAGTGGGTCAGTACTTTGCTGCCACTGTCATCTGTGTTTTACTGACGTGGCCACCGAGGTTCAGAAATCTAGAAGCAGCCTGGGGTTTCAATGCAGCTGTCACATCTCTGGTCATGCTCAGAGATGTCCCCTCCTGAGCGACATGGAGTGGGGCTGGCTTGCTTTTCCTGCTAGAACTGAAGCTCAGATGATAAGATACTTTGAGACTCACCAAGGCCAGGGTCATGAGGGATGATGCTAACTGGCAACTGTGTAATTTAGATACCTGTCAATTATCACAGATCACCTGCCAATTATCACAGATCACCTGCCAATTATCATAGATCACCTATCAATCATCACAGATTATCTGCCAATCACCACAGATCACCTGTCAGTCTTCACAGATCACCTGCCAATCACCACAGATCACCTGCCAATTATCATAGATCACCTGCCAATCATCACAGATCACCCGCCAATCACCATAGATCACTCACCAATCACCACAGATCACCTGCCAATCATCACAGATCACTTGCCAATCACCATAGATCACCTGTCAATTATCACAAATCACCTGCCAATCACCACAGATCACTCACCAATCACTGCAGATCACCTGGCAATCACCACAGATCACTTGCCAATCACCACAGATCACGTGTCAATCATCTGTAGCTACCGTTGTTCCTGGACAGTTCTAGTGGCAGCAGTGTGAAGGACCTGGCACCCCTCACTCACGTCCCAATTATCCCTAAGTGCCCCGCTAGGGAAAGGGAAGGAGATCTGAATTCAAATGCCACATGTTCAGCAGCCTGTGACCTCTGCACGTTTTCCATTTTTCTGAGCCCGACTCTCTCATGGATGAAATATGACCAGACACGTAGCTCATGGGATGTTGTGAAGGTCCAGAACAATTAATTATGCTATAGTCTCTGTACATAAATTAAGGGGTTAAGCTGAGTCCCATACTGAGAGGACCACAGGGAGGAGGAGGATGGCATTTAGGGCAGAAGACGCTACTTGGAGCAATCTCCCCCTGCTCCTTGACCCTCTGAAAATTCTGTCACTGGGCTTCCTGGCATGAAGTCATGGTTTCTTAGTCTCCTTTGTAGCCAGAGTGGATGTGTAAACCAGCTGTGGCCAATGGGAAGTGACCAGAAGTGGCAGATGTCTGTTCTGAAGGGGAGAGGCTCCTTCTTTCTAAGGACGCATGTCAGTTCCTGTGAAGGAACAATTTTCACAGTTCTTCACAACACCTATTTGTTCACTTGGTTGGCAAACTTGTGAGGTGCTGCATGGCCACCAGTAAGCCAGGCACACAGGTGGTCTTAGTGTGGGCCTGGGCAGATAGCTCAGTGGATAAAGTATTTGCCTTGCAAGTAGGAAGACTAGAGTTTGATTCCCAGATCCCATGTAAAAATGCTGGGCATGGTGGCATGGGTTTGCAGTCTCAGTGACGAGGAGGAAGATCTCCAGGACTGGCATCCTAATGGTGAATTTCAGGCAACGAGAGCTACTGTCTCATAGAGGATGGGCAGCGTTCCTGAGATGAGGTTGTCTTCTGGCCTCTACACATGGGCACAAACATGGATTTGCTGTTTTCTTTTAAAGAGAAAAATAAGGCCATGGTTATAAATATTTTCAAAGAGTTTTTTTTTAACTTAATCATATGTCTGATACCCATCATGTCTATTTTCAATGTTGCCACAGTGCTGCAGGGCATGAATAAATCATAACTTAAAAAGCAATTTCTTTGAATGGGCACATATAGTTTCCCTCCTTTTTTGTTGTTGTTTTTTGTTTCATTTCATTTAGTTTTTCTTTCTTTCTTTTTTTTTTTTTTTGAGACAGGGTTTCTCTGTGTAGTCATGGCTGTCCTGGAACTTGCTTTGTAGACCAGGCTGGCTTTGAACTCACAGAGATCTGTCTGCTTCTGCCTCCCGAATGCTGAGGAGAGTAAAGGTGTGCACCACCACTGCCAAGCGTCTCTCCTGTTTTTAAGAAAACCCATTTATTGTATATCAGTGTGTGTGCACACATATGTGTGTGCCTGCATGTGTGTTTGTGTATGTGTGTACAAAATTGAGTATGTGCCACAGCGTGTGTAGAGATGGGAGGACATTTCCAGGAGTTGACTGTCTCCTTCCACTTTGTTTTTAGGCAGGATCTCTCTTGTTGACTGTTTTGTGCAGAATACCCCAGGCTAGACCAGAACTTCCAGATGATTCTCTTGCCTCTGTCTCACATTTTGCTGGGATTAGGGATGCGTGCCACCACAGCTGACTTTTATTGTTATTACTTTAATATTTTATGTGCACGGGTGTTTTGCTGCCAGTACGTTACGCACCGCCTATGTGCCTGGTTACAGGTGATTGTGAGCCCCCACGTGGGTGCTGGCAATTGGTCCTCTGGAAGAGCAGCCAGTGCTCGTAACTACTGAGAGATCTCTTTAGACCCCCACATCTGGCTTTCATGTATTTACTTGTTTTTAATTTTGTGTGTATAGGTGTTTGGTCTGCATGCATGTGTCTGTATACCAACCA